GACAGCAATTTAGTGAGACTCCCCAGGGAGTTAGATCGATCCAGATGGATCGATCTAAGCATGGGAACCCAGTCTTAGATACCATAGGTCTATGTAGATGGATCCAACTTCATGGTGACTCTTGCTGAATGCAATCAGTTTAACAGATTAACATGCATCTTCCTGGCTTTAGGTAAAATACAGATAAGCTTGTGATTATACGAGTATGTTTAAAACAAGAGGAGGCATGTTATTCAGTTCAGCTGATTGCACTCAGCAAGAGTTGGATGGATATATGTAGATCATTGGTCTCTATGGGAATGTGTAAGATTTAGAGTGCAACACCATTCTAACTAGATCTGAAATTTCCTATATATGATAAGGCTATGTTTATGGTCAAAGTTAGTGAACCAGTGTCTCTAGTACTAGTATGTACTCCAAATCAATGTGTTTTTTAATAAAAGAAGAAACATTTCAAACTGAAATAAATCATAAAAATCTAAATCAATGAAAATATTTTCTCATACATCAAGTATATCAGCAGTTTTAATGTACAACTATGTAATAAGGATCAATTTGCACCTACTGATCAATTGTGTAAATAATTTAAAAGATACACCAGCTTATTAAATGAATTTCAGTTTTCTCTTCTTTATCATTTCATACAACATGTATAAAGATTTAACTACTGTAAAGATGGATTTGAAAATTCATAAAATCATAACAGAAACCTATTTCTAGCAATATCTGTTACGTTTTCAGACAATGGTCTTGGATTAGTCTTCCATTATGAGTATTGTAGGGGCTTTGCAGTGAGTCCTAAACCATGCAGTACAAAGTGAAAATTCCATCTGTTGCGATGGTGAAGTGTGGGACATCAGATGTATTGGAGAGGAGGTGGGTATATGCATTTGGATATGACACATGCGAGATGCTGAGAAATCATATTGCACTGGGCAAATAAACTTTGACAGCTATCAATTTCTAAACCAAATATTTATTTGAACTGTAAATCTAGAACTAAACAACTGCTTCTATAAACCCTGTCAAACACTGTATCTATTCTTACACCAGGACATGCACGGGGTTTACACCACATGGGAGTTTCCTGGTTGGTATAATTTTGTTCAGATAAATTTCACCACCATCTTGCAAATAAAATATTTACAAATACACTACCTGCAGCAGTTTAACCAAGATAAATGTCAGAGTAAACAGGTGCTATTTCTACACTGTGTTTAGTAAAAATCCCTTCAAAAGTACATTGGTTACGTGCATTCACCCGCTGGTTTGCACTCAGTTTTGCTTCAGAATGAGTAAAATTGCTGTGCCATACTTATGTTTAGGCACTTACTCGACTGCTATGTACTTGGTAACACAAATATGTCTCCCCTTTATGTCTATGGCTTTTGGAAATAATCATTACTATAGTGGCATCTGTATCCTAGACATTTTGCCTAAAATACTGAATTTTATCTTTGGCAGAATTAAATATGGAACCCAACATTTCATTGCCCACATTTCTTACATTGGTAGTACTTTATTTACATCTGTCATCTATAATAATAAAAACATTTGATAATCTTCAATGATTTCAATTCCAATTGATAAATCTGATATATTATTTCAATACTGAACATTACCAGTGCAACGACCTCCCTCCTCCCCCTATGCTCAATATTTACTTTCATTTTGGAAGATTGCCACTTTCCAAGACGATTGGTAACTGTTTTAATGTGATATGCATTTAATAATGATTCAAATTTAATGATTATACATCATCAAGAATTAATTCATGTACAAAATAATAATAATAATAATAATAATAATAATAATAATAATAACTAAAAATAAGGTAATTGAATTTTTTTTTCTACTGGAGCTCCATTACTTCCAAATTTGATATCTTATCAATAATTCAAGGTACATCTTTGTTCTTGGCATGCTTCTTAACTGCCACTAGTGCCACGATTTCTTCGATATATGGCAACAAACACCCTCCATCTATACAATCTAGACACAGGTTTAACTGACAAAACACTTTTGATACTTCCCAGGTCAGAATGGCAAATATGTCGATTGACACATTGATCTGTTCACTGTACATTGACCAGATATCCTAGTAATGATTTCAATTTGAAAAGAATCTATTGGGATATACTTGAAGTATATCCCAGTAGTACCTTGAACCTATACCTTTGCTGTTTTATATCTAATTCTAGCTTTGCAACATGATTGTCTGAGCTTGGACACGAGACTGGTGCATGAATGAAGAATAAATCATCTTTATTTGGAAGTAAAATACCTTTTTTTTAATTTTTGATGTTATTGTGTACCCTTTAAGATTCAACATACCATTTTATTTTTCATTTACAAAAGATTGTGCCACTTCTATTTATTTATCTCTGTTGTCAAATAAGTGTGTTTACAAATTAGGATAGATATTTTAAATATTGCTTGGATTATTAAGTAGCAATGGCTAGTGTACAAACATTCTACAAGCATTATTGATCTAATTAATTTAATTGCAATGCATTAAATGGCTTATCTTGTTTGCAATTATTTACCCTTGGCTAAGATATAAATTATGCAAAAAATGCTCTTACTGATTTTACAAAACACTCACTTCCTTCTGAATATTTTAAAACAATTTCTTTGCAACATTTAAGTACAATTGGCATATCTCAATCTATTCACAAATTTGCTTTTCATGTGCCTATTACATATTTAAAAAAATCATTTATCACATTTGTGCAAGCATATAAAAATATTTACAATATATCTTTCTTTTTCGCTGTCATATGAATTGTTTTGTTTTGTTTACCACAACTCAAACCTTTCCCTCCCACAATTATATATAAATATATATATACCATATTATCTTTTTCTGTCAAAACAACAGAAAGTTGTATGGCTTCAGAAAAGACCTACCAGTTACAATACTTAACCAAGAAATAGAGAAACGAGTTAACTCAGAGAGACATAAAACTATACTGAAATCAATCTTTGATCCAATTGTGGTGTACAGTTGTTGATATGTGAGAATATAAAAAAGGAGGAGAGAAAAAAATGCCACCACCTCACAACATAATCAATAATGCTCACACCTAGAATATGTACCTCATAAAACCTTCATAGTATTCTACTTGAGTGGGAGGAGTTGTTTTCAATGGTTTATGTCCCACAGTAATTAACAACAGCTGGGTTGCTATTCATTGTCAAACTGAGTAGAAACAGCCAAAAGCAGAAAAATTGCAAGGCCATCATGAAGCAAGATATGCCATCAAAAGTATGATAAATCAATACAATTGACAGACAATGGTATCCAGAGTCACTGTTATATAACCCTGTGTGAACAATCAATTTAATACAAGAACAGATCATTTCTATAACAGATTGGCATTATAAAAACTCTTAGCTATATCCTATACAATTATGGGGAAATGAATATATGTACTTTGTCCTCTCCTCTAACACCCCTCCCCAATAATTGTCAATAAATCAGAAATCTAGACAAATTGCCGTTAACATCACAAATAGGAGAGGACAATAACCATTGCTCAAATGATGAGAATTTTTCAATTTTTTTTTGTCTTTTTTTCACATGATGCTGCCACTTTCAATTAGCACACAAATTTAAATTAACATCTCATGTGAACTGTGCAATGGTAAACATAATTTATATGCTTTTGCAGATCTATTGTCAATCGCATGTTTTGCAAGCCTTAAGCTGCTAGAAGTCATTTTCCCCCGCTTTCTCTCTCATTAGATACCTGTTCCAGGCTATACCTGGGTCACTTGTTATGAAACAGTAGTCAGTCAGTATTTTCTAGTGAAGTAGTTACACAATTGAGTGTGAACAAAGTATTTGTCTGCCCATAAACCAAGACATTATTCAGGAGTTATAGACAGCTTTCAATGAATAAGCTGTGCACTCCTTGGACTTGATTTCCTAGGGGAAATATTATGATTTTTCTTGGTACAGATATATAAGAACTTGTGAGTGACAACAAGCTATGCAGCAATATGCTTGCTAGCTGCTGCTGGGTTTTTACTCTTTCTCACTCTCCATCTCTCTTCCTTTGTAAAAAGGTGAGATAAAAAAACAATCATTAAGCATATTTACCATATAGACTGCACCTGCATTTTACTTCTAAGTCAGCTTTTCATATTCCAATATTAATACTGAAATACCCTTTTCAATCTTTTAGAGTACTGACAAGAACATTTCTGACATTCTGCTGATATTGAAACTCGTAACTTAAAAGACCTCCACAGCTGGGCCAGCCATCTTTTTGCACACTCACCTGTGTAATTGAGCATAAAATCATTTTACTTTCAATTCATACACCTGACATTTATTGGGTGAGAACCATCTGTCTACATTTTAAACAAAATAGGATAAAAAGGCTCTTAAAACATCTGGCATTCACACTGCTAATATTATGTATAATCTCAGGTAAAGCATGGCATCCTGGAATATAAAATACAATGGAGCTCTAGTGCATTATGTGTTCATAACTTTAGTAATAAATTTAATGCTTCAATCACAAAAACGCAGCCCTTACTACAAGTGACACATTAAAGCCAATACCACATAAGCAGAGGACGGTGTTTCCGCGCCTTTCTAAATAATCACAAAGGTTTAATAGCACAACATGTGTGGAAGTCGGGTAAACACTTGTATCGGCATTGTCTCTTTCTTAAATGGAAACTATTGTCTGCAGAAACCAGGCCCGATTTGACCAATTCATCAAGTAATTATGTAAACAAAGTCAAATCCAATAAGGCACAGAGCAAATAACTATTAGTAGCTGACGTACAGATGCAATGTTTAAACAAGGTGACACTACTCGTTCAAGTAGGGACTGGGGGACCGCATTACTAGACCTACATTAACAGTAACATTCACTATAACTCGGTAATTTGGTTTACATAAATACATACATAGCAAATCTACAGACGAGGTAAAAAAAATTAGAATTAAAGTGATACAAGCGGAGTGTATAAAAGATACTCACGAGTTCCATCAAAACGCCTAGCGATTGTATCCAAAAATGTATTTTGGGGCGCGAGAAGTCCCTTCCTTCCCGGCATCTCAGCCTACATGTTAAATCCAAATTCCGCTGTAAAGTATTTCCTACACTTCCATTCAAATGACCGTGAAGAGGTCTCTGCTTTAAATTCCCTCCGATCGCGCGGTTTCTATTTTAACCCATGTAAGAGCTGAAGCACTAGCAGCAGTCAGTCCTTTGTGCTGTTAGTGAAGTAATAACTCCGCAAAAAGCGTCAACCAGAAATTCTTCGCGATATTTCAACGCCAAATCCGTAATAAGATAGATATCCGTCGATTTTGCCGAAGCTATCATTATCCTCTATCCAACTCGTTCCTCGAAGTATTCATCAAATACCATTTGCCGCGTTTAATTTAATATAAATACAGACTTCTCTCGGGTGCTGCGCTGACTGACACAAGAGGTTGTGTTGGATTAAGCGTGAGCGTGTACATTTCAGCTCAGATCGATACAATGTGTTAATTGCGGTAGCTGTGAACACAATCTTTGGCTATTTTCTCATCAAACGATGCACCAACTTGGACCGTTTACTCGTTAACCTGAACATTTTATTTCCTTTAACAAGTGCCCCACAAGTTAAGTAAAGATAAACCGTGTCGAAGGCGGGGCCCTATGTAAATGAATCTCTTACATAAGTTGTCAGTCTCTTGAAGTAGACCAGTCTAAATACCTGTACCGCTCGATTTCAAGAGAGCATGTCTTCGCAATCTGACCAAAAGATTGGGGAATGCACATTTCCCAATAAGTTAACTTCTATTCATAATTTTAATAACCTCAATTAATGGATATTTCTATCTTTTGCTAGATAGTATGGTAAAACATTAGAAATGAGCCAGAAAGGAGCATAGCCAAAATTACCGAGAACATTAATAATTATACATAGCAAGTAGTACTAATTTAGCCAAAAACTTGTATAACTAAAACAATTGAAGAATAGATATTTTATTTCAGAAATTTAACAAGATTCAAAACATTCAACAGGCAATGCCCCTAAATATATATTATACTGTAATAATTCTCATTTTTCGTTTTTTTTTTTTCTTTTGGAAGTTTCGATGAATTTACCTGCTACTCGTTTTCTGCAGATTAAGTGGGTATTCTCTAAGTGCCACATAAAATATTCAGACCCAAGCTAAACAATAAGGTCTTTGTGACATTTATCACTGATAACAGCGCCACTTCTACCACTCTATACACGCTGACAGAAACAAAATACTGAAGAATACTCAAAATGGTCTTTTCAATAATCGAAACTCTAAACTAGTTAAGGTTAAAATCAGATGAATTAATGTATGACATTTACACTAGAGTTAATATAATAATTATAATAAAATAACGTGCTATGGCCATTATATTACTATAGCAGGCACATCAAGGGACCTTTAGGGTTAGTACAGTAGGACTCAGTGCAGACAGCCTATGTCCTGGTGCATGTGCTGATCCTTTCTCAGCTAACATACAGAATCATGTGCAAAGTGTTTACATTTCTAAGTAAATAAAATATTGACCCAGAGATCTATAATGTCAAATAACTGGACTAATCAATGTGCATTCTTAACGGCCAATTATAAATATAAGATATGACATAGAACTCTCTGTACACGGTGCATATTCCTTCAATAGTACAATGTACTTATGCATGTAAAATTGTAATTATGCATAGATAAATAAATTTTGGAGTGAAAATTCACCCAGTATGGCAGGATAAAGTCTATGGTCCCTTTCTATTCAGATTCTCTCCCCTTAAAAGATGTCAACATTGCAGCTATAATTATACAAAATCATTTAACTAACACAAAAAACAACAGTTCAAATGTGGCCCAGTGCCGTATTAAGATTCTTCACACTGGCTACAGCAGTTTTACACAATTAGTCCAGAAATGCAATATTTAGTTCATCATGCCTTTCATTGCTTTTAGTTTTCTGCTGCATTGCTTTGAACAGCATGAACTATATCTTTTTGCAAGAAATAAATTTCCCCTTGTACTGTACAAGTATAAATAATTGCAATTTTAAGTATATGCCGTTAACATCAATCCAATCCAAGGAATACATTGAAATAGTTATCTTTTTCACATTAAAAAATCACAATTTCTCAACATGCTAGTTTCAGAAAACACTGACTTTGCATTCATTTCATCGATGTGAACACAGAAGTATCCACACAAAACAAAATCAAATACCAAATATGATATTAGTAGTAATGAAATCACTTGAAATGCAATGCAACTGTGGAGAAATCATCCCTACAAACCACCAAATTCTACATCTACTTTTGAAAAGTAAAATGTAAAACATTGGAGCTGCTACTGAAAACCCTCTTTTTTGTTATCCATCACCACCACTGTGGGCGCATATTGGACTAAAATCTTAAAGACTTGCATATAACAGTCTTATGGTCTTTTCAAATTTAAGTGTTAAGGTTTTCAGTATTGTCATGTGTTGTGTCATGTGATGTCATCATGTGACCCACAACATAAGCATCTAGGCAAAATGCAACAGTAGCTTTCCTAAAACAATCAATTTTTCACTTTTTACCAAATGACAAAATGGGCCATGATCTTCCTTATTTATCAAATATTGTACTTCTGATGTTTTTAAAAGTGGATTCACATTGTTTGCTTGGTTTCCCTCACTCAACATTCTAAGTTTTAAGGGTAGAGCATATAAATGTCCAATAAATTTGCTGTGCAAATTGATGATACCCGTGTATGATTTAGCACCAAAAAAAGCACAAAATAATGTAAAGAACATATGGGCTTCAACTTTTAAATACATTTCTCACTTACACCCATTAAAGCTACATGTTGCACTCCTGTTTTTATAACCACATCTCATATCTCATACAGAATCTGTAAAACAAGAAATACAGTACAGCAAATTTTACCGATGTTTTTTTTTTTTTTACCAAATATTCATAACTATTGAAAATTACCTGAAAGCAATGCCCAATTTGGCCCTTTTCAATACCTATAATAGACTAGATAAGCCATCCTCAATTGCAGTTTGTGGAATTCAAAAGCAAACCCAAGTTAGACATATACAAATATTGAAGACATAGTGAGCAAATGATTACTATCAAAATAAAATACCTTTGGTTACTACCAGCAAGTATGTATACATATTTCAGATTTGACAGATTCAAATTTCACTGACAGTCAAAACTAGGTGACCTAAAATAGCAAGATGAAGTATGGATTTTGGTTGGCACAACCAAATATATATTTTAAATCTGAAAATGTAGTGTCTTCAATCATAATAAAGCTGACATTGGAAAGTGATGGAAATGAATGAATAGAACAAGTAAAATCTATTTCATGAGAGACATTTCCAACAATAATTTGCCCCTATGCCTTTAAGTGAATCAAAACTGCTTTATCTCTTTTCTCTCCATTGACTAGCATTAACAAACACTTTGATTTTAACATGTACAAATAAGAATTCAGTTACCATATGTTGTTGCATATACAGGACTACTGCATAAAGCGAGTGCATCTCTGTCCTTTATCTGATAGAATTACTCCTGGATATGTCTTACCAATTTTCTTCTTTAATACTATATACATTATTGCTTCATTTGAAAATAAATATTTGGACACATTTACACATACTTGGCTGTCAGTATGGCCTTATAGATGTATACAAGCATGGACATACATAGGCATCCCTGCTTAAATAACAAGTGTAGTCACATCTATCAACAGTGCATACTGTTAAGGACCTTCAGCCAGCTTCTCACATTACAGATGTAACAGAAAATACCTGTTCTCCTATGCTGACATTGAGATGTCACTAGGACAGATCAAGAGCAGTTTCCCATAGGAATTGCATCATTGATAAATTCAACACTTTTTAATGGGCTGAGCAAGATATCTAAATATATGACTTCAATTTTTAGAAATATTTGTAAGACTACTTACTACTTGTACTTACAATATAGCACCATTAAGTTTTCAATCAAACCCCAAGTATCACCATACTTTTTTATGTTACAATTGGGTTCTATCACACAAAGGAGGTGTTAAGATCAACAAGACCTTACGATCACTATATGAACATATCAAGGTTGTTTATAGGTGAAGTCCTTTGCTGCTGTATTGCACAGAACTTGCAGAACATACGATTTCAGTCCTTGTGATCCAGACCATTTACTTCATGGACTTCCCCATTCATCACAATGTCAATGTCACCATTCAAAATTGCTGTAGATTTTTTAGTAGTTGTATGCTCCCTGGGTTTCCGCTGAGGCAAAGCATCGTGATCTGTTAAGAGATCTTTTTCATTTTCAGCAGCAACTTTGGTTTCAATGTCATTTATTGCTTCATTGTCTTTAATTGTTGTTTCATTCATGTTTGCATCTTTGACTGGTACGTTGCCGTTTGTTTCCCTCACAATGTTGGTTGGTTCAGCAGGGATTGTAGAGTTCATTAAATTATCTTGGTTGATATTTGGTCCATCCAACCCATTCTCTTTTGCAGGTGGGGCCCCCTGCTGGTCACTGACTTCAGCCTCGGTCTTACTGACTTTAGCCTCAGTCTTACTGACTTCAGCAGTTACAGTCTTGTTGTCTGCATTCAATTCAACATCCACCACTTTATCCTGTGCAGGCTTAGCGTCTTTATTTTCACCTGGTTGTACACCATGCCCCTTCTTTACCTGTCTTTCTTGAGATTTCCTGTCCCTTTGGTGTGTCCCATGCTGTGCTTTATCATTTCCGCCATCCTGTTTGCCAGGGCTGCTGGCAGGGTTCAGAGAAGGTTTCTTCTGTGGGGAAGGTGCTCGTCTGTTCTGGACCTTATTCTCTGACTGGGGCTTACTTGAGTGGTCTTTCTTGTTTCCTCCAGCAGTTGGATTTTTATGTGGAGAGGCTGGTCGCTTGTGTTGATTTTGCTGTTGCTGTCTTGGTGCTGCACCAGATGGAATACCAGACTGATTTGCTTGCTGACTCTCTTCTCGGCGCTTTTTCTGCCTTTCACGTTCCTTTTGGCGCCTCTTTGCATTGCGACTCTTTTTCTCATCTGAAAGGGACAAATTCCAAATTACACAAATTGTTAACTCTTTTATATGTTAAATTATGAAGTATAGACATAAAGACAATATTTTTGATGCAGTATTAATAAATTTTGATACTATAAATTTCGTACCAAAATTCTCAGTTATAAATTTTACTTCAAGATCTGAGGGATAGTATGTGCTACACGCTTAATGATACAACTGAAATGAATGTACAGGCTGTGAACCAATTAGTCTGTCCTATAGTTAGGGAAAAAATAAATATAGCAGATAGGAATGGACTCTCACAGTACATCATTTAGTAAAATAATTCAATCTGTACTATGACTGGAGTGCAGGTGTACCCATTTTCCTCAATTAACTGTTTCATCAAGAACATGACTCTTCCAATGAGTTACATAGACATAATTGTCGTTATGTGGAGCAAAACATTTTGGATAATATGAGGATATAAGTGATGAGCAAACATAACTTCGATTCATGAAACAAAAATATTGATTTACTAATGCATTTCGGTGTGATATATTTTGCTTTCTAACAACAATGTTCATTATATAAATAAAGCAGTCTTCCTGTTTATTGATGTTTTTTTTCCATTCTAACCATGTGTTCACTTAGGATTCAATATCGTATGCCAGACATTAATCTGTCTCGACATATTCCTGGCTGTAAAATGACCCGAGATTTCAATTTTTTGAAAATTTTCACAATATAATTTTATCAAGTTAAACATATCTTCAACATATCTATTTTACACATCTTTAAATTTTTTTTTTGCAAGTTCACTACTTGCTTTATTGGCTGACTATCTAATATAACATCTCACAGTAATCATTATTATTTTGGCAAGGTGAGCAAACATAATTGATAGTTACTAAAAACTCAATGCAAAGAAAAAATCATTTTCCATGAATATCAACACAAAAAAGGCTTTTTTAACTTTATGCAGTCTGGTCACAATACAACATAAGTTTGACCTGTCTTGGTCTAAAACAATTGCCACCCAAACAAAGCTTAAAATAACAGCAACAGAGAAAGGCTGAATTCAAACACAAAGATGATGATGATGATGATGGATTACATACCTCCTTGTGTTTCTGTTGTATCATATCTCTCCTGTGTCTTGGTGGGTCTCTGGTTAGAGGGTGCAGGTGCCCTTCTTGGAGGTGAATGCACAGGAAGACCCTTTAAAACATAGCAGGTAATGGTGTAATTATTCTAGACACAAAAACACTAAAACTTTCTAATTCTAGCATTTTACTAGATGCAGAACTTATTAAGTAAGTCATTCAATAAAACTAAACAAAAATACTAAAACTTCGTAAGTCTCCCATTTTACTAGCTATACAGGTAATTTGGTAAATCCGCATGGCATTTCTATGGTTGCAGGTGCCTATTCTAGTTACCTGTTTTTTCAGAGAGTCCTGCAAACGAAGCTGCAGCTCCACCAGTTCCTGCGTTGTCAATGTATCTGAATGCAGTAGAGGTGCCGATGGTGCTTTTTCCATACCTATTGTATCATAACAAATGGAATATAGTGAAATATATTTAAAGAACTATAATTTTGTAAATTATGGTGTGTATGTGTGCATGCATGTGTGAGTGGAGGCACACACTTCCCTCCACAATGAGATTTTAACACTGTTCTTTCTCCTAACTTGTTAGCCAATTTGAAGTGATGCCAGTGAATAAGAAATGCTGTGTTAATCAAACAGAAGGAAACCCATCAGGAGTTTCCCACGATATGGAGTACAGGGAGTCCAAAATGTAATTAGGTCACCCTGTAATTAGGTCACCCATTTACAGGGAGTCCTACTACAAATATACTGTCATTTCCAAAATATTTCATCAGTCTGCCAGCAGACTTTGAAGACATATGCCAAGTTTTGAGGCCAGTGGCCGTCCTAATGACTGCTGGATGGCTCTCTAGGAAAAGCCTTGAACCCCATTCAAACAATACACCATTTGCACAATCAGTCTACTAGTAGACACTCTGACAAATTATAGTTTCTGTCATGTTTTCATTATGTTGGGCTAACCTGTGTCTTCCTCATGTTGTTTTTTCACAGCTTGGGTTACTGGAAAAGGATCTTTATTGCCTTCGAACACTGGTGGTGGTGAGGTAACAGACAAAGTGGGAGACAACACATCATCATAGCTCACTACACTACTGCTGACTGAGGAAATGGAAGGACGACGTGTGGAGTATATCGCCTTCACTGGGACCACTGAAGAAAAATAAAATTGCAACTATTAGAGAATTGTATTTGAGCTGTCATTATAGATGATTTGAGTTATTTCAAAGAGTGAAGTATAAAAGCTGCATTAACAGTAGACAACTATGGCACTGTCTGAGAAGATTAATTTAAATACAAAACTATCTGTGTCATTATTTCCAAAATTACTTGCATTTTATCATTTTTTTGTTTACAAATCTTAACCCCAATAAACAACCCACAAAGTTTTTAAGAGATCAACTGCAATGACCTTTCATGCAATTTTCAAAATGCGTATAAATCCTTACCTTCTCCAAATTGCCGGACTTCCTAAAAAAGAGAAAAGAGCATGAGACATATTTTTAAATATGTAAAAATATCTAGGTGGTTTCTATGTTGAAATATCAGTAAAACACTAAATACAACAGTTATACAGTCAATTATAGTTAGCACATGATCATTCATTTTATTCCATGATACCATATAATGACAAAAGCACTCAGAATAACATTTACTATAAGTTAACTGTTTGGTGAACCAATGTGTTCATATCAGATGGTGTATTGTACTAGAAACCCATACCACCTTACAACCATCTTTCACAAAGACCTAACCACATAGTATTAAAAAAAAACAAACAGCATTATTTACAATAAATGAATCATTCTATCATAAAAAATGTTTACAAATAACTTTCCCGAACCTGGTCTAGCACTATTTCACTTCCATTCTGTCAGGAAAAAAAAACAGATCATCCAACAAACATGAAATGCACTTCCTTTCCAATCTCAATTGCAAATTTCCAACCATGCATGCCCCCAATCCACAAACAACACTTATCGCTGGTTTCAAAGTGCAGGAAGTTGATAAGGTGGCAGCCAGCAAGCATCCACTGGCTGTGTGCAGCACCATTTTGACTTAAGTCCGTTTAAAGACTTAACTTCAGGCTGTGGAAATATTTATTGCAAGGGAATGCCAGGGTCACACTGTGAACCATGGGTCATTCTCCACTACTCAGCTCATCTGACCACTAATTTCATTTATCTGGCAGACTCAGAGGTTACAATTGGAAGCAATCAAACTAACTATACTCCTTGACATCAGTCTGAAAATAAATTGGGTTAAAACAGTAATAGGCATATCAAATTCCAACTTCGAGGCAATTTTGAAATTATTCTTTTTTTGTTGGTCTATGAACATGTTTGGCCTGGGTGGGACAGGTTCTTTTGGAATCTCATTTAAGTTTCACAGTTGCAGGATGGGTATTGAATGGGTTCACATGAACATCTTTTTGTTTCACAATGTTCTACAGAGTTTCAGGTCTGCTGCATGCCAGCCTCTTCATTTTCAAATCTCCTCCATTTGCATGTTTATTACTCCTACTTTTAGTGGCAATTTTAATTGAAGTCTACCACTCTCAATCAAAAATGTGCCCGAGTTATCCGGGTTCCATGTAGATTCTGTAGAAAGGCACAAGATGTAGTTAACAGAACTCACTGACATTTGTGACTGGCACCGTAAACTCAAATCAAAGTTCAATCAAAGCTGCAACCGGCAGGCATGTGTGGAAGTTTGAAAATGAAGAAAAAAGGTATACTTGGCTCAGAAATTAAGATTATTCATAAATAGTTGAAATTTTTTCGATAAATGAACATGCTTTCATCACTCCTACTCAGTATGTTAAAATGATTTTTTTTTTGCTTGATCCAATGAACAGCTTATAAAGAGAACTTCACAATGGCTTTGGAAATACAAGGTTTTAATGTCACTTATGAATTCATCTGTGGCCAGATGAGGACAAGCTTCCTTTACTCTGTTTCCTTCCTTTTGCAAGTGTCACGATGACTATGAATAACCTGTAATCAAGAAGAGCAGGAAGAACGGGTAATTTATCAAGTGATTATATTACCTGGACTAGGTGATCAGTGCTGCAGAGGAATCTTGTAGTGCTTCCCAAATTTTCATCTATTTTGCGATCGCTCACAAACATCTGAAAATTAAATGATTTATGAATTAATTTAAACATAAATCAAATTAAACAGTGCATGCAAAAATGTAAATAAGTGTTTCTTATCCAACGGCAAACTCATGTAACAACTCTTCATCTGATATTAAATTACACTGAACTTTGTATGAACACTTTTCTTTTTCCTTAATTTCCCTATCAAAATTGCAGCTAAGTATTCTTTTTTCTTCAAGGCATCCTTGTTAATTTTGGGTTAAATCAAACAAACAAACAAAAAAACAAAAACTAATAAACAAAAAGTCACATTTCTCTGTTCAACACTAAAAATATTTTAGAAGAAAAAAATTCCTCAAAGTCACCTTTATGTCTGCTCTCAGGTCAGATAGTTGGTGATCATTCATCTGCTGAGCTCTCTCCGTGCTTTGCTTCAGTTCCACTGCCTTCTCTTGCCTCATGCTGAACACATCCACTACAAAGAGATTGAATCTCAAAGATTAGAGAACAGTGTTTGTCAGGTAATAATCAAGGAGGGCCCATTTTAAATATCACAGTGATTTTCATTACTGCAAAATAACCATTTTCAATATTGTGACTTTCATTACTACAAAATAGGCCTCTTTTGTATATTAATGCAATGTGTGAATTTATAAGTTTTTCCAACTTCTTAAATATATGTCTGTTTTAAAACAGATATGTGTTCTTATCTGCACTGGTAATTCAGGTTAAAAAAAGTATCACATTCTTTCATTTCTTTATCTAACATAAAAATGCTTACATGCTTTCTGTTTAACTTTATCCATTTCAAACATTAACAGAGCTTCTCTTTCATTTAATCTGAAATAAGAGAAAAACATGCTTACTCGCTTTGGACTGTAATACATTTTATTTACATCCACACTTCAAAGGAACTATGCTTGGTATTTTCAAAATAATTGACAGCATTTTACATGAATAAATCCCTCCCCCACTAAAAAAATAATAACGGTCCTTTTTTCATATGGTAGACATAATTTCAAACAAACTAGGTTTATTCTCTGCAATGAAGTTCAAAATGCCAACTTTCACTCATGTTGAGAAATAAGAGTGTAAAAAATCGCAGTGTAATATCTTTCTGGTATCACTTCATAAATATTACATTTTAGGAGAGCAATAATGCTTAATAAAACAAGCGAGATTTTTTAGGTTAGCAGGAAAATGAAACTCACTCTTTGTGAAGCTCTTCAAATACTGATTGTATGTGTTTGTAATCTTTGTCCATTTCTTCTGAAAACTTTTCTTTCAGCCTATGCAATGATATGGTCTGGCGCTGAAGGTCTTTAGTGGACTTCTCTAGGCCTGAGATTTGAAACAGATCCTCAAACACTAGAGTTATGGTAAAACTCATTTGGCATTTTTTAACAAATCAACTTAATGTTTCAAGGCATACAAAATGCTGTAGAATGGGTAAAAAATAGCAAAGCATCAATGTTAAGTGTAAAGTAATGCCAAGGGTGGCAAAATTTTCACTAGTTTTATAAACTTTATGTCTTTATTCCACAACTGTTACATGTATAAGATATTAATGACAGTGAGGAATGTCAGTTGATGAAATGTGACCCAATTCTTATCATAGAGATAACTAAACCATGTGGCTGTACTATGGGACTGAAGAAGATGACACTGATAGCACTGTTCAGTTTAATATCATACTCCTTTTACCTGCATGTGGTCCTCTGTGCCCTCTTGCTGAGGCTGACGATATGCGACCTTGACCTGAGTGGCCTGCACCAGAGCCATGATCTGCGGTGTGCGAACCTGGCAACAGAATGACAATTACAGTTTATAGTACAATCTGTTACAGTGTATAGTACAATCAGTTTCAGCATTTTCTTGCCCAGTTGATGATCCCTTCAAGTTCTGAACCTAACATTACACTTTATCCCCATACTTTCAAAAAAAAAAAAAAATTTTTATGGTATACTAGAAGAATGATCAGATAATGTGTTAAACCAAATATTAAAAGGTAAAAGCCTTTTGCTTCAGTCTAAACATTTTACATTATGAATCATTTCATATAACCCTTTCATCTTCCTAACACTTACCTTGCTGCTTGTGTTGTTTATGATGAGACCCAGCTCTAGGTCTGTGCTGTGGTCCCAACTGAGACCCTTGAGCATGGGCACCTCCTGTCTCATCGGTCTTGGTTGTAGTGACAACTTTGTGTTCAGGCTTTTTGTGTAAGCTCCCAGTTCTACTTCTTGGTCTGTTGTCGGAATGTCCTCCTTTTTTCTCCTGTGCAACAACAGGATGAGCTGGAACTTGATGTTGGTCAACGCTCCCTTCACCTTGTCCTTTGTCAACATAACCTTGACCCTGCACCTTAGAGCGATCAGTCTGTTTTTCAGAAGTTTCTGTTACTGTTTTATCAGACAAGCTTTGACTTGAGCTTTGGTTTGCAGTTTGAGCTTCTGTTGAAGGGGGTGTTCTCCCCCTTCTCTGTCTCTGATGGCGTGGCTGTTGAGGTGCAGGGGATGCCTCCTTTGTGGTCTTATCACTACCTGAGGACTGAGACTGCTGTATATTTGGCTCAGCTTTCCCTGATGGACCTGTTGAATAAAGAGACCGAAAAAAAATCAAAATGTTTAACCAAACGTCATTATCAGTCAATCACTTTACAACTCTGAAAGACACTAATTTCACTTCTATGGTGTTAAGTAGTAAAAAAAAGTAATAAAATCTTAATTTAATATCTCATGTTGATAATTGTGTGTCTAAAAGACAATGTTTTGTTGTCTCCTTAAACACTGTAATATTCATCAGCAAAACATATGCAGTTATAATAAATATACTTCTATTACAAATCTTTTTATAAACAAAGCTTAATATGGTGATTCTCCATCTGTCTTCTCTTCTTTCCATTCTCTCTATCTCTCATTCCATACCATAAGTCACATGCTGTGAATTCCCATTGGTCAAAGGTTGGACTGAAGCTACACTTGACTGAGCAGAAGTCTGTATATCACCACTCTCTAGTTGCTGTTGCTGTGGTTTTTTATTCTTTTTCTTCTTTTTACTAGGGGCCTAGATGATATACAACATAAACATATATAGATAGTTATATAGTTGTAAGCAATACACACAAGTAAACCACATGTCATAACAATAATAATAATATGATCATGTCAAAAAACCATTTTTTAAAAGTGAAAGCAGTTTATACTGTCTGGTGAAGAACTGAATGTTATGAAGTCATGCAACTTGTCTACAGACATCAGGTGCATCAACAGTCTGCTTGTTATGGTTTAAATTAAAACACTGCTATTTCAACAAACTTAAATATTATATTTCTAATAACCAAAAGCCAAAACAATCTGTTTGGAAACACCCACTGCTAATGGCAATGTGTCAAGTTGGATGTTACACCCCATTCTCATAGATTAGATCGACCTACATTGGATCGACCTAACTCCCTGGGGGTTCACGCTAAATAGCTGTCAGCCGGGCGGACACGAAAGTTAATTACCCCTTAAAGCTTGTAGTAGGCGGGGACGGACATTTAAGGGGGATTATCTGACAGTAATCTAGTGAGACTCCCCGCGGTGATAGATCGATCTAAAAGTTGTGAGAACAGAGCCTTAGAGTTTATGATTTCATAATCACACAGTCTGCTGTACAAGTTGGTACTAAGATAAACTGTCACAACTAGAATGCAAATGCACCCATCAAGCATAAAACACCTTGTAGAGTGAGACAGACATTTAAATTGACAATTTGCATATCTTTATCACCTCAACAGTACGAGGTTGGACTATGTCTGTGATAACACTGCACATTTGCTTTAATTCATGACAACTAATTCAAAATGTTGAGCAAGTAAATACCCATTAAAAGTGAACATTCATCTTAAAATTTTTATATCACACTATTTAGAGTAGGAAAATTATACAAACTGCATCTTTAAAATCTAATGGGACAGTATAATGGGTAGTAATGAAATCATTAAAAAAAGTTAAATCATAGTAGTTGGACAGGAATAAAGTTGAATCCAAGACATGTTTGATAGGTCTGTACTGGGTTCACCAGTGCAAGGCTCCTGTAGATGACATGTGGAGATAAACTCAGACATGTACTGTGCTCTGCCAGCCTAATGGCATACCATGGTCTTAATATGCAAAATCTGTACGTCATACATCTAAATTTAACATTTACTTTCAGCACCAAAACAGACTTAGTTGCCCTGTCAAAGTGTAGTTCTTTGAGCTTAAACATTATTTCTATTTCATGACTTTTTTTTTCAAAGCACACAACTTCAGTTTTTACAAAACATTTTACAACAACAACCCCCTTCAAATTATTTGACTTCAAAGTCTTCACAACAAATTTTTCTCTCAAAGTAATACAGCTCAAAATTACATCCCAAAGTTGTAAAAATACCACTATAAAAGATGGAAGGAGAAATACCATCATTTTCTCCTTCTGCACAAGTGTTTTCAACAAATTCACTCGTGTGGATCAAAATGGCATGTACCAGACAGTTGTATGAAGCTGATAATGATGTCATGACAGTCACCGCACTGCTGTCACACACCATATAAATTAATAGAGTCTTGCTTTGAGCTAACAAGGTCTGTATTGTCCCAGACTGTGACCTGAACTCCACATGTCACTGGGATTCCCTTTTTTCTAAATGTAGTATAATGTTTGGCTTTGTATCCAAATGAGTGCAAATACAAAAACCTTTGTTGGCATGAAAATCAATAAGTTGTTGTTATCCAAGGCCAAATATCTTTACTATGTGCTGTTTTGCACAGGGTTTCAAGGTACAAGTTTGGAATATTCGTACTTTGTACTTGTTGTAGCTTTGGTATGCACTTACAAGTATCTTTCTAGCATTTAAGGCTACTTTATCTTGCAGATAACAATAATTTGTAACCTTGGGGGGGGGGGGGGGGAGTAATGTGTGCACATGTACAGCATGTATGATGTGTATATGTATGTATGAAAGAAGCAATGGGAGAGAGAAAGAGTTATCCATTAGCATATTTGGGTGCTTCCAGACCCATTTAGTGCCTGCTTCTTTTGTATTTAAATATTTTAATATGGCCAACATAACTTACGATGACAATAAACTTTGTCTCTGTTTGGTCTAATAAGTCAAACACTGTAAGTAAATGCACCTCTTTTAATTTCAAATAAGAAAGTTTCTCAAATCATGAAATTTAACACAAAACTGAGGCAGGCAATCAAGAGGCATGCCATGGTAGCAATATATCCATCTCTCCATGTCTGTGTCACAAGATTATCACCAAGAAAATGGCAATTTCCCAGAAAACTAAAAGGCTGAATCTTTAACAACATGTAAATATAATACATTTAAACCTTCACTGATGCAGAGATGTGAAAAATATACCCTGGACAAATGTTCAAACTTTTGTATTGAAGTCTAGGAAGCATTCCCAGACACCCATCATACTAGCTGGATTGATCCAATTCTGCGGGGATTCTCACTAAATTGCATTCAGTGAAGGCAGCTTCAATGTCTGGCATGCCTTATCAAGCTGATAGGGGATAATTAACGACAGTCAATTACCCCCTAGTTACTCAAAGGGGTGTGTCAGACAATTAAGCTGATAACACTAAAAGCATTTTAACAAACCAGCTAGTACGATGGGTTTATGAGAACACAGTCTCTGAGTGACAATAATACCTTTATTTTTTTAAATTTCACATGGTAATACCGACCTTATTTCACATGGTAAAACCTACCTTATTTCCTGGATAATGCCACTCCTGTAGAGCTGCCTTGGCACCATCTGGAACAAACATAATGATGTTTTTTTTGAGTGCACACTATTAATTATTCATTAATTTATTTCAGTGTTCTTTAATGCAGTATAAACACATCATTACTACATCCTTTCATTAAGACATATACCAGTGTGTGTGTGTGTGTGTGTGTGTGTGTGTGTGTGTGTG